AGTGTGTGTTCACACAGCAGCGTTTGACCTCCAGAACACACACTCTCAAACAGGATTCAAGGGGCGAGCGGAGAAAACTATGAAAAACGTGATCATCTCCGAGTAAACTTCAAAAAAGTGAATCTGAGAAAAATTTTTTATTTCATTATTGAGTGTGTATATAAGTGTTCATTTAAAAAAAACAAGTTTTCTTAATCTCAAAATTGCTCAAATTTAACTAATTCTTAAAGCTCTTTTTACATTTGGACACACTTCCTGAATTATTCCGGTACATTTAAGCAGACAACAAGCAAAATTATCCTCAACTTTATTGTTTAGGAAATTCAAAAGATTCCATTGAAAACCCGTTTACAACATTGATCGAGTCGTGACTTGTGGAAAAGGTTCATCCGCCACTGAGGAATCATGTCGTTTCCAAACATCAGCAGCCGGAGGGAACCGCAGCGCTCACACCATCACAACACACAAGCTCTCCTTCATTTCTCCGTTAGCACGTCAGCAACACCATCGTGGATCCGAATGACTCTTTAAAGCAGCAGCACGTCACTAAACCATCACGATCCCCGTCTGTCAGCTACACGTCAGTGTGAAAATGCACTTGATTTGATTTTAGGACTTCTCGTTTTCGTCAGGTTGCAATATTCAGTTTGGCGTCAGATATTCAAACACAATAAAATCTCAAATAGGACATATTTCAAATCCGGTCCGAGTAGAAGCCGTTAAAACCGTGTGCGCTTGGACTCGAGAGCTTGTGAAGATCGGAAGTGTCCAGAGGAGCATCAGGCACTGGACGAGACGCCGGAGAGTCCCGCGGGAATAAAGCACGAGCTTCAGCTTTGGCACCGTCATACCCATCAACACCAACACCGAGCAATCGAACCGTCCACATTCTGATGGATGTGTGTGTGGAAATACACTGGGTTTGTGATTCAGATTGATCCCCGTTTTCTCCAGGTGTTTATTAGATCGTGCCGATTTGCTCTGAAGTGAAACATCTTTCGCTGCCTTTGAGTAAATGAGAAAACATGTCATCTTTCACAACATCATGTCTGTGGAGTTTTTACGGTGCGGATCCTGAGGGACGCACGCATGCAGAGGGAATATTCTCCTGTCTATTGATTGTGGACTATTGTCAGAAGCACTGTGGGAAAACATAGGGATGGCGTGTGTCTCCTCTGATATGAGCGGGTCGTAACGAAAGTCTTGCATATAAACCAGCAATCCGAACACACAAGCAGAGCAATGACAGATTACAGGTTAAATGACCTTCATTTCACTCCAGATTCTCAATAAAACACTGTAACACTGATGAATAATTGGACTGGTTTAAAAGCGTGAAGGTCCATTTCTCCGCAGAAGTTCAACAGTGGCGAATCAAACTGGGAAAAGGCCTTCGCCACAGCAGGACCGACGGAGAACTGGGATCCGGATCCACACGGGAGGAGCCGCCACGGGTCAGCCGTGAGACGAGAATATGGGCCGACTGATGGTACTGTTCGTGGTCATGGCCGTCAGCTCCCACCTGAGGACACACACACACACACACACACACAGTTAGAGGAGAATATGGGCCGAATGATGGTACTGTTCGTGGTCATGGCCGTCAGCTCCCACCTGAGGACACACACACACACACACACACACACACACACTAAAGGGATTTGTGTCCCTGCAGGAGGCCGGATGTGTGCCGGCTCTCGTTAGACTCATTAAGATAAGACGCCACTTGACAAGTTGTGTTCTCCATCACTATCAGACGAGCGTCTCCTACACACACCAGCTCCAGTTAAACACGTACACACACACACACACAACAGTTCCAGTTAAACACACACACCTTCAGAAACAGGCCTTAAACCGCAGCACACACACACATGTTCAGATTCTGGATTCAGACAGTCATTATCAGAGACATTCACATCTCTGCATCTGCTACTGTTTATGGCCTGTTCGTCTGTATGTTAGATAAGAGTAAAACTAATAGACTACCGAAGTAATAAAACTGACTGCAGAAATAAATAAAGCATTACAGCATAACAGCCACTGCAACAACACGTCATTACAGAGAAATTAAGTCAAAATGCCTGATTAACCTTAAATAGAAACACTAGTCAATTTAAACGATAACGGTTTAGGGTTTTTTAGGCATTATGCTGAAAACAGAATGAAACACAAACGTCTTCATAAAGTATAGCATTTTATGACCAACTCCACTTTGGTGTGATCTTTGTCAGATTCGTTTGCGTGTTATTCCAGAACGGTTTGACGAATCAACTTGGATTCCAAGGTCTGAAGATGATCTGATTTGACTTTTGTGAAAATCTGATCAATGGTCTCGGAGGAGCTCGACATTTCTGAAAAAAAAAAATTGACGGAAACTGCCATCATAGGGTGCATTCGATCCGAGGAATCGGAGGAAAAAAAAGTTGTGTTTCTACTCTTCAGACAGAGGGATTGAGTGAGAGACTATAGTATCAGTTCAGACTGTCCTCTATCTGTGTGACACTCCTTCCCACAGATGTGTTCGCCCACTCACTACAGAACTGACTACCCGCTGGAGTGCCTCAGGGCTCGGCGCTGGGACCGCTTCTCTTCTGCATCTACATGTCATCACTGGGATCTGTCACTCAGAAACATGCTTTATCCCATCACTGCTATCATCTAGATCAGGGATGGGCAACATCGGCCCTGAAGGGTCACTGCCCTACAGAGTTTAGATCCAACCCTGAAAAAAATCACCTGCCTGTAACTTTCTAGTAATCCTGAAGACCTTGATTAGCTTGTGTTTGATTAGGGTTGAAACTAAACTCTGAAGGACAGTGGCCCTCCAGGACCGAAGTTGCCCATCCCTGATCTAGCTGCTGGAGTGCCTCAGGGCTCAGTGCTGGGACCGCTTCTCTTCTCAATCTACATGTCATCACCAGGATCTGTCACTCAGAAACATGGGTTTCCCATCACTGCTATGCTGACTCACAACCCTAGCTCTTATTCCAGCCAGATGATCGACGGGAGCCGGTCGCATCTCCGCCTGAGACATCTCTGGCTGGATGAAGGACCTCCACCTTACGAAGACAGAACTGCTGTTGGTCTCGGACAGCCCAACACTACACCACAACTTCTCCACTCAGCTGAAGGCTCGTCATCCATAACTCCATCAAGGTCAGCCAGGAT